CCTAACCTCAACCTTGGTTGTACTCAAGCTTAGAACGCTTAAATGAACCCTTAAACAGTACAAGAAGTTAACAGTACAAGAAGTTAACAGAACAAGTTTAACATTGATTGAATTGACTAGATGTACAAGATAGATGTTCCGGGTTGTCACACTTGCTTCATCTGTTGGAGGGGCAATTACATTCATACTAGAGTCAGCAACCACAAAATCCTCTTTTGCAGCTTCTGTCAGCTGCACATCCTCTTTTTGTGAGTAACCCACGTCATTAACATGCTCCCCTCTTAGTCCAAGATGCATACCGAAATAATCCTGCTCATGGGAAACAAATCTTACTCTTATTTAAGGAAGGTAACATCAAAAGATGACCACTTTTCAATGTTTACACATAAAAAAAAATGGACTCTTTACCACCTCGACGAGAGGCCCGGGTTTACCCTCATACCACCATCCTTTGTTTAACATATACTCATCATAACATCAATCCAATATACCAGGATACATAATCCAGTGGGTCGGCATTGGTGCCTTCGACCCATAAGTACAGTAAGGAAAACTCACCTCATAGTCCGAAAAGATAGTTGAACAGATCACGTCTCCAACTGCGGACTCTATATATCACATATACAACAAACAATGACCTAGTCTCAAACTATTGCTCAAAATACCCAAAATACCCCTATGTCAAACTTGGTCAAAATCATGGTCAAAGGTCAAAAGTCAAAAAGTCAACGAGTCAACTCAGACTAAGTACGCTCAACGTACTCAACTAATACGCCCAGCGTATGCACTTCTCTCAGCCAGAAAATGGGGCCTTGACTAGGTACGCGCACCGTACTCGGTTGCCACCTTCTCCTTTCTATTAAGTGCTTAATCTATTAAGACATTCCGTCGAAAGCCCAAATCTAGTTCCAAAAAATGTTCTAAGTCATAAAATTTCCAACTTTATGACTTTCCAAGGCTAGAAAGGGTCTGACACATAAACCCTAACTTATTTCACAAACCAAAACCTCATATCTCACGCATGAAGAAAAGAAAGGGACCAAGATCACATTTTTATGGTTTTAAGTACCTAAAACCACTTTGAAGGACAACCCTTATGGGTTAGAGTAATCCATACTCATGAACACCAAGATTATGGACTAAAAGTGCAAAAACATAAGAGCTAGCAAGATCCAAAGCAAATATGTAGGTCTGAACTTTATACCTCCAAATAATGCTTGAGGGCAAGATACTTCTGGATCCAAGATGTCTTGATCTTCCAAGTTGATTCCACTTCTTTCTTCTTCCTTAAGGACACAAAAATACACTCTAAAGATCAAAGATGCTCATAAGGATGGATTAGCGTTTGCAAGCTACGAAATAGGACTGGAGGCTGATGAGGGAAGGAGTCTTGGGAGACTTAATCATGCTTAAATAGTGCTCAAACCCTAAAAATTAGGGTTTGCACTTTGCCACATACGCCTAGCGTACCAGAACGTACGCCCAACGTACACATCAAGGTGGCGCGTTTCACTAATGGGGCCATGGGACCATTATTGCAACAAAATTTCATATTAAAGGTCAAAATTGTAATTTACCTGAATAATGAATGTTACAAAAACAAATATATCTTACTATTACTAGGCCAGATATATCGTGTAGTGTTCATATTCTCATTCAGTTTATGCATAAGCCTAGAAAGTCGCACTTAAACGTTGCTTTTAGGCATTTAAGGTATCTTAAAATTTGTCCTGACAAAGGGGATTTGTTGATGCTGATTAGGCAAATTTTGTCAACTAAAAAGATCTATTACGGTTAATTTGGTTTATATTGGAAATTATGTTGTTTCTTGGAAGAATAAGAAACAGCCTACTGTTTCTCTGTCTTCTACTAAATCTGAATATATAAATCTCTTGGCTATTACTCGGGAAATCATTTTTGGATTTTGAAAATTATGTTTGATCTTGGAACAAAGGATTTAACTAATGTTAGTGTTTTTTGTGATAATGATTTTGCAATTAAATTAACTTTATATCCTATTTTTCATGAAAAAAAAAAAATTAAACATATTGAAGTTGATTTACAATTTGTAAGAGAGAAAATTACAAATGGGATTTTGAGAGTAGTTAAAACTGATTCCACAAATCAAGTGATATACAAACCAAATCTTTAGTATTTTCTCAACATGATTTTTTTTGTCTAAAAGGATAGGCTTAATTGATGTATTTTATAAGAGGTAAAACTTATAAAAATGTTAAGATTGGTTTTTTTTTTTTTTTTTTTTGGGGGGGGGGGGGGTGGGGGTTGAAATATATAACTATTTCTATTTAATGTTAACATTGGTTTATAATTTGGTTCATATTTTGTAGTATATTTCTTGCATATATTTTGTTTTCTTGGAGGGTATAAGTTGACTAGTTGAAACCATGATTTGATAACATTTCTGGTGAGTTGTTGGAAAATCTTTGGGTTGCGGCTCGTTTCCTTGAAAGTTTGCAAATAAGGACACACGAATCTTGATGACCCATGGGTCATATGTGATATGTGTCTATATTGAAGAACAGAGAGAAGCTTTGTCATTAAGCTCATTTGTAACACACACTACACATACTTTTCTTTCGTTTCTCCTATAGCATATTAGGGTTTCTACTACTTTGTATCTTCTTCATTCGTTTGTTATTTGAGTGATTTGTATTGAGAGTAGAGTTAGGATCTTGTAGTAAGGAATAGAATTGTAGTGTCATGTTTGATCGAACTAGTTCTTATAAATAAAAGAGTTGTTTAAGTTTGGAAAATCATGTGTTAATGGAAAAATCGACAAGACATTGATATTGGCTATATCTTACTTTATGTCGATCATATTCTTCTTACCATATCCCCCGGTCGCCTTCGTAAACACACTATTTAAAATCTTGTCCATAAATTTACCATGAAAGACTTGAGTCCCTCGGTTATTTCCTTGGCATTACGGTTGCCCGTCCTCCTTGTGGGCCTTGTTTATGTCAAAGAAAATATGTTATGGAAATACTCAAACATGTCGGTATATCATCTTGTGCATCAATCCCACTCGTATTGATACCAAAGACAAGATCCTCATCACCATCGAATCAATATACGTTGATCCCTTAGTAAAGTGGAGCCTAGTCGGAGCTCTTCAAATACGTCTTCACATATATGCTCCACAGGATTATCATATGATTTCCCTCAAACAGATATTATGCTTGCTTAGCAGCACTCTTGATTACAATTTATCCGTTTACAAAACATCTTACCACCGCCGTGCCTACTGATGATGATTGGGACGGTTGCCTAGACGTCGTTCCATTTCTCGTTATTTCATTTTTTGGGAGATAACCTAATTTCTTGTTCTTCAAAACGACATCCAATAGTTTCACGCTCCACTGATGAAGTTGAATACAAGGGTGGCTAATGTTGTCTTTAAAACTTGTTGCATACAAAACTTAATAACGGAACTTGCACTAACCATTACCAAAGCCACATTTTTCTACGATGACAATTAACTCTCCAACAATTATGTTTAATACCAACACACAAAATTGATATCCACTTCGTCCAAGAACAAGTAACTAATAGCAACATTCGAGTTTTTCTCGTCCTTCTAAATTCAAATCATTGATATCTTTACCAAAGGACTTCCAATTTTTTTTAAAACTCTCAGTCTGAGCATTCTTACATCTCTAACATGGGTGTATTAGACTATTATCATATTAGTAATTAGTGTTAGACTAGGATTCGCTTAGTGGAAGGAATATTTCCAAATATAAACCTACCTATCTTGTATAAATAGTTGATGAATTAAAGAAAGAAGTTCAAGTTCAAGGGATCAAATACCACTATTGATGACAAAAGTTGCATCTATCAATGTGTACAAAGATTTTTCTGTCTCAAATTTTTTTTGAACGACCATGTTAGTATTTGTCTGGGATTGAACCCAGGATCTCCCGGTTAGAAACTCCTAGTTAGACTCCTTGTTAGTCAAGTGGGCTAGCCCCAACTTGTATAAATTGCCAATAATTAATAATCCATAGGTGGTGTTTACCTATACGCAACAATAGGGAACGCAAGGAGTCTCCTATATAAGGGGCTAAGGTGTGGTTTACACATGTATTTATTCTGTCTCAAAAGAACCATGTTATATGGTTAATGTGGTGGGAACATGGTCTCAATGATTCCCAACAAATTCAAATGAAAAATATAGAGAATAACCAAAGACAAGAATATAAGTGGAAAACATCATAGCCGAAGAACTACAAGCCTCCATAAAGAAAGATCCTTTATATGAGAAATTATAATGCAGACTATTTTTTTTTTGTTCTAAACTCAAACAAAATAATAAAAGAAAGAATCAAATACTCCATGTATATTTGATTGGGGGTGTTTAGAAACCAAAGTATTAAACTCTTTTTATAGGCTTGGACACCGTTCCATCTTACTACCTTATACCAATATGGGATGAAAAAATTTCTTCCATTTAGCCAAATTAAAAACACAATAAGATCTATAGGTTTCTTGTCCTCATGAAACAAATGGATGGTGTTATAAGAAATTTCTTAAGAGATGGTCTTTAACTTTCCAGGATAATGATTGGACATGTCGAAATGGAGAATTAGAGTGATTACTAGGTTTTATTCCCATATAAAGCCTCCATCTGTTGGTTCTTGGCATTGATCCAAATTGGATCATGACAAGCATCATTACAATGTTTAGGTTCCAAAGTTTGAACATATTTGTAGCAAAACAAAGAGATTTGGTATCTAACAAGGTATAATTAACAACCTTTTCTACAACATTCTCCATTCTCTTATAACACACAATTTTCATAGACCATATAACAATAGCTAACGAATCACACACAACACATAATCATCGATAAGCATTTTTCATGTCTTGCATCTCTAATTAGTCATTGTTGTATGTCAATGCACTAGATGGGGGAATTTCGTTTTCATGAAGCGAATCAATGATGCTATAAAGAATTTGTTGTTACGACAAAGTCATGTCTAGAAATCTGTTGAAAAGACATGAATGCCCTCGTCATATTTTTATTATAAAAAATAGCTCACACAAGCAAAAGCAACATTGCATGTATGTAAATCACTTCTTTCCAAACATAAGATAAAAGAAAACCCACACCCATTCATATTACAAAGAACCAAAAAATGCAAATCACTGTACATTAACTCAACATTCCCAAACAGTTGATATGATAGACTTCCTCAAAAATGTGGAATTTATGGATGATCAAAAAGACGGAATCGCCCCAGCACCTCACTCACTGGAGCTTAATAAAACAATGCACTAAATTGTAATTTTAAGAAAAAGAATAACGAGTCTACATCTCTAATGCATCTTGTGTTGTACTTGTACCATGAGCTACTATGAGTTGTGTAGTTTAAAGATCGGAAGTTGGGTAAAGTCCAAGAAGGGAATTGCGATTGTTTCCGTTGTAGTATTCTGAATTCCCATAAAAGGAGGAATTGGAATTCAATTCCCCGGAATTGGAAGACTTACTACGTGATCTTTGATTCTTGGGAGAAGCTGTGTAGTCCATTGAACTGCTTCCGGAAGTATACAATGATGATGTTGGGAGACCTGTCGGATCCTTATTGGTCAAACTGTAACCTCGTTCCACTGTTTCGGCTTCTAGTGGTAATTCGTCCAATGTCTATAAACAATGAATTTTGAATAAATTAATTGAAAAACATATAATTAAATAATTAATAGAATTTTATTAAATCAATTGGAAACCTACACGAAAAGCTTGTTGAAGGACACGGAGGAGATCACGGGTGCGTTTTCTCTTTGTGGCAACTTCATCGGGTTCTTGCAACATTTGTTCGAATAAATCATCTCTGTTTAAATTAAATCACACATTATTAGATATCAGATGGAGTGGAATATAAAGTAACTAAAGATAATATAATGCTCATTGAATCCAAATAAGTTATAAGAAAAAAAAATGATTTTGTAGTTACTTTTAGAAAAAAAAAAAGTGTCATTTATTAAAAATATGAAGAGTACCTGTACAACTTTTTAATGAAGACATTGTGCAACTCTCTTTTTGTATGGTTAACCTGACATTGCATCAAAAAGAAATATATATATATATATATATATATATATATATATATATATATATATATATATATATATGAACATTAGAGAAGCTTCTCAGAATGGAAAATAAAAAAAGATGAAAATTACCAAAAAGTGCATGATGGCTTTGGGCACATAATCCTCAATGTTCTTCCTGACAATATCATAATAAGATCTCAACAACAATTTCGTAACATTAATCTCAATAGCCTCCTGATCAGAATTGGCATCAGATGGCCTCAAAACCGTTGGTGGCTACAAAAAAATAAAAATAAAAAACTATTAGTATTTCTTTTGTAATATTTTTATAAATTCTATTGATAACTTCCATAACACACCTCCCTTAAATGGATCGTTGAAGAAGAATAATCCATATGATCGATGGTATGAACAGGTTCATTAAATGGTTTGCTTGAGGAGTTTTCTTTAATGGACATTCGGTTATCTGACCCACCAAAAATTGATGAGATCCCCCAGCTTGTGCTTCCTAAATAAAATCACTCAAAGTTATGACTACTTTGATTTCTTCCAATTATATATATATATATATATATATATATATATATATATATATATATATATTTGTCAAAGTATAATGTTTTAATAAGAAAAAAGAAATTATAGGAAGAAATGGAAGTAAGATGCTATTTCTTACCAGATGCTGGCTTCTCAACCTCGCCAACTGGACGAGACCCAGGCTGATTATGCTGCAAAATTTAATTTCCTAAAAATTAGTACCAAAAAATAAAAACAAAAAGCAACTTACTTTAAGACATTGTATTTTGAAATACCCAATTATCACATTCTACTTTCAATATTTTTCTTATAGAACTTTTTTGCCAATTATAGCAGAAAAAAATGCTGTGTTTGGATGATATTTGTCAAAAAAAAAAAAAAAATAGATGGAACTTTCAAAAGTAAAAAGTTGTAATAGAATGAAGGATTAATCTCATAAAACGCCTTACATTTTGTATTTTCAAAAGTAAAAAGTTGAGATTTAAATTTAATCCGGAAAAAACACAAAAAATAAGGTCTTTTATGAGATTAACCCTAGAAAGAATTTTAGTATAATGTTATAATAAACAAATTAAAGAAAGTACATTGCTATTTTTAACATGTGAAGCATTATATTTATAACAACCTGCTCTGTGACAATTCCATTGACCTGTCTACCAAGAATTGCACGTGACTTGATGCCTCTTTCAGATTGTGGTGCTTTGTCATCAGCAGCATCCTTTGCCCAAATAAAAATTAAAAACAAAAACACAAATCAGAAAAGATGACATCAGCAAGTGAGTAAACAAGCAAACATAATATCATAATCATACTATTTAGAGTTTTGAGTTTCACCTTTTGCCTTGAATTCGTGGTTGTAATTTTTGAAGACTTCACTAGCTGCATTGCTGTTTCAACAGCTTTACTCCCACCAATAAAATTCGGGTGTGAAGTGTTTATATAGTCCATCTGCAAAAGATATTGGATATCACTTTATGAGGTTTTATTATGTTTTAAATTTTTTGTTTCAGAAATTATCAATTCCACCATTTTATATATACCTCCATTTCAACAATGTGTCCAATCATAGTCTCTGAAGGTTGAAGACCATCTCTTAAAAAAATTCCCAATTACATCATCCATTCGTTTCCTCAGAACAGGAAACCTCTGAAGCTCATTAACCATACAGTGATGACTCATCTGAGACACAAAACTACAATCAGAATCCCAATGTAGTAACACTTTCATGAAAATTAGAATATGAAAAGATTTGATCAACTCCAAACCTTAATTAACTCATCATAAATAAATCTTGCACATTGAACACTTGGATCTAATAATCGAGCAATTTGTCTTCTTATAAGAACTTCAAAAGGAATCTGCACATGCACATAAAGCATCTAACTTGAAGCTATTATAATAAAATATTAAACTAAAAGCATGTACAGATGATGAATTTAGGGTTTAGGGTTTAGGGAAGAAAAAAGAAAGAGAGTAAGACCTACTTCAGGCACAAATAATGCAGATCTTGGGCCAGTTGCATTCTGTATGGCTGTGCGAATGTCATCATCAGTCAAATCCTCACAAGGGTCAACCTCCTGAAACATAAATACAATTTCATTAGCTATTAAAGATGAAAAAAATATATGCAGATCATTATATTTCATTTGAAATATTTTATCCTGAAAAGGTTGAATGCAAGAAACAGCAATGTGCCTTCATTGGTTTGTTTAATATAGTATAGTATCCTACTTTAGTTTGTTTCTATTACTTCACTGTACTTTTTTTTTAAAAAAATCTTATCAAGGCATTATATCTTAAGAAATCAACCCAACTATGGCATTGTATGTTCAATATTTTTCTTATTAGGACATTATAGTATGAAAATCTACCCAAATATATGAATAAAAATAGCTTTGTATTTGGATGACATTGCTATATTTGGTAAATTTTTCACAGTTCAATGCTATAATAGGAAGAAATGAAAGTTAACATAAACACCCCTCCAAACTCTAAGGTTTATAGATAAAACTCAAAGTATACAGACCTCCAAACTCTTCACAAATATTGACTGGAAAATATAATGTATTCTTGCTCCTCCAGAAAGCTCAGATGTGGACATCTCTTCATTCTTTCCCTCAATCATTGATGAGAAAGCTGTATAAAGAAACTAACGAATTAATTATGGGATCGATAACTAGAAAGTTACAGAAATATATACATTTGGCTCAATTGATAATGAACAAAAACAAAAAAGGGAGAAAAGTCACACAACCTTCTGAATACTTTGAAAGAATATTTAAAAGAAGAGCTCCCATGCCTGCCTGCAAATTATCAAAAAAAAAAATGTTATATAACACAAAATAAAACTAGCAGGATTCAAGATCATGATTATCCATAAGATATACCTTTGACTCTGTGATCTCTCCATAACTAGCATGTTCTTTTGCCACTGAAACTAATGTAGCACTAATGCGAGACTTTAACCCTGGTAGCACTGTTTTGATATGTTGCACCAGAATCTGCAAATAAAATATTATATTAAATCTTTTAACAAATATCACATTGTTCATGGGTAAAAAAAAGATTCTTCAAACCCTCAAAATACCTGGTTCAATTTCTTTGCTAGTTGAGGCACACCACAACGATCAGCAAGCTCATTATAAACCTGCACTATAAATAGTTAAATTAACAAAAGATCCCATCACTGCTAAATTGTTAATATATATATATATATACATATATATATAAAATATAAAGTAGTCATACCGGACGGCTGCGAAAGAACTTCTCCTCAGCCACAAGTGCATCTTTAATTGTCCGATTAAGCATAATATCCTGTTTTTAACAATATTGTATATAAGTTGTGAGATTAAATAACACAAGAAAAGCCCACAAGTGCATCTATAATAATAAAGTTTGGTTTTTGAGCGTTGAATAAATGAAAAGATTACCTCTTGACTACGATTTACAACACCCACATAACCAAGTCTTAGGGGAATAACTTTTCCCAGCAAAAAGTTACGGGCATCTGTACCTCTATCCATGATGTCCAACTAAAGAAATGAATAGGATACAACATGTCAGAAATGAATAATAACAGATAACAAATACGAATATGACAAAAAATGAAAATTTGGGTTTATGTATATTGAACCTTTGTTATCACACCAATTGTTCGGTAACCTGTCAAAATAAAGAGGATAATATCATTTTAAAGAGATGATTCTACTCAAAACATGACAAGTGACATCAGCACAAAGTCACATACCATCAGGATCAGCATTTCCAGCAATCTGAAGGGCGTCTGAGTTGGCAAGGTCTGAATTTGCTGGTGTCACAGCAAGAATTAAACAGCTGGGAGTCTTAATGTATGACATTATCATTGTTCTGATACGAGCTTCAATATCAGAGGGCTGATCACCCACAGGAACTTTTGTTATGCCAGGTAAATCAACCAGAGTTATGTCAAGAACATTAGGAGAGAAAATCTTTAAACGGATTTGCTTGTCAGAAACACCCTTGTTTCCCCCTGCTTCCCTGTCAGTCTCAGCCTATAGTATCCAGATTGTAAATTAAGAAGTCAGTGATCTAATCTTACTTGACAAGAATATAAAGTGCTTGAACTTTCTATTTAGAGGCTCATGAACATACAGAATTCAAAGACACAATTACTCTGTTAACATGTAAACAACAAAATTCTATCAAATGAAAGTTTCTGTAGGAAGTAAAATTGGTCTAGGGAACTAATTTTATGAATATGAACAATCAGTTTACTTCTTATTAATCTTTCACAGGTAGTAGACTTGAACAAGCTATGATATAATATCTCGGAAAAGTAGCTTAATAGAATACAAGTTGACACCAGAGAAACATCTTCGCTTACTTTCTTTTGTCATATTAAGAATTGATTCGGTGCAGGAAGAATGTGCAGTTAAATTGTAGGTGTTGTCTATGCTTGCCAAAAGAGAACGGGAAATCTGATGAAGAGCATTTTTTGTCAACCATTCATTCTAATTTCGTCTTATGCTAGGTCAAGATAATCTACTGTGAGAAATATTTAGATACAACTATCACAAAATATTAGTAGCGTGGCATAAGTGATCCCATTAGAAGGTAAGAACTAGGATGGAAAAGCATGCAACCTAGTGAAAGTAATATAATATGGCCACCAACTGTCTCTGCAACCATTGGAGGCCATTAAACTAACACAATTTGAAGTGAAGAAACAAAACAGCTATAGGAATCACACCTGAATTTCTCTACGAATTTCATTGAAATCATAGAACTTTTTCCCCGGTACGTGCAAAAATTCACCATACTCTTCATCTGTCCCATCGGGCTTCCGCTTGATCTGAAGGAGCTGAAGCACAAGCGGTCGGCGCGTACAGATATCGGAACCCCTAGGCAAAAAATCACGGCCTACAAGCGCTTCAAGCACACTAGATTTACCACTGCTCTGGCTACCTACAACGGCAACCTGAGGGAGCTCGATAGTGGACGAGCTTCCGAGTTGAGCGAATATATCTTGAAGCTTGTTGACGATTGGGATGACGTTGTGGCCAAGCGGAGCGGCGTTGGCATTAGTTGGCGGTGGAGGTTGTTGCTGTTGAGACGTGGAAGGAACCACTGGTTCGTCGCCCATTGGGATGAAGATCGATCGAACTGGAATTTGGGGAGGATGATGAAACCCTAAGGTTGTAGGGTGGAAGGGTGGAGGAGAGAAAGTATGTTTGAAAAGGAGATTCTAGAGAGAGAGGGAAAGACGTGTGGAGGTGTTTTGATTAGCGCCCAAGCCAGCTTGAAAGTCGATTTCCCCTAAAGTTAGCAACTCAAGAGCTGGACTAATTTTACATCATGAACTCGTGAACTTCATGATTTAGAATAAACCCTATATTTATATATTAAAAAATTGGTGTTAAAATATCAATATATCAAAGAAAAATCATATAATCGTATATCTATATTAAATATTTAAATTTTATAATAATATAATATCTAACAACTGATAACAAAAAATTAACAAAACTAATGATTTCACACATAATATAAAATAAAAATAAAAATATGCCTTCAAAAAAACTTGAGTTATGTTGTACCTTGATCAACCTAAGAACGTAGAGACATTGAAGTTGCGTCTTGCCGTTTTATGTCTCGGCGCCTTCTAAAAGGTTGATAATAAGTTAATAACATTAGTATATAATCTTCTATTTACAAAGTATACTTCGCAATAATATGTTGGCTCGACAATTATATGATACTCGCTATTTAATCTTATAGTTGTTTTGTGTAAAATTTCATAAATATTCACAAAATTCTATTGAAGGTATATTTCATTCGAAAATTGTAACCAAAACAATTTGGGCAACAAACTAGCTTACAAGTGATTAAGTTTTTTTAAACAACTAACTTATAAACTCTTTAAATCCACACTTGTGTCATACGCGCTACGTTGGACTTGACCCATCAACCAACTACTAGTTGAGAGCCATCTGTCTTTAACTCTATGATAATTAAGCATTTTTCTAAATACTAGTATCTAACCAAAGAAGTACGTGTTTGTTGGTATCTACCGTGGATTAGTCGAATAAGAATAATTCACAACATGTAGATTTCATTATGGAATGATAAGCAACCATAATTCACAACATGTGGATTTCATTTGTCGCTATAGCCTAAGATTTATGTTTTCAAACTTCTACGGTAGTTTTAGAATTCATATTTTTTAATGGCAATGTTATATCTCAATAAAGAATAACCACCATGTGTGGAGGTATGTATATGCTCAAAAGATTACTTAGATGCGATGGAAGACATACAATATATCATAGCATTTCAAGGCTTTGGCAAAAAGGATTAAGTGCGTCAAAAATAATACCAAAACAAGAAATTGAACAAGGTTTAACCAGGACTCCTACTATTATGACGATTTTGATGATGTCAATAACAATGATGAAGATATTGAAGCAGAAGATGGAGGCGGCTAGAAAAAGTCAAAGACAATAAAAAAAATCAGACTAGACTTGACTGTTGTGATAAAGATAACAATAAGACCGAAACAACATGAAAAATATTGCACTTTTGAATGAAATGCAAAAATCAAAGGTGAAGACAATAAAAAAGAACATATTTTTGTGACGAAGATAACAACAAGAAGAAAAAATTGTCATTTTTAAAAGAGAAGTAAATATCAAACATGTTTTCTTATTGTGTTTTTTTACCAAGTAAAATAGGAATATATTTTGTTTGACTAAGAAAACTGTTATAATTGTCTATTCGTTAAATTAAAAAAAATTAAAAAAAAATCGAGCTTTCAATAAATCAGCCCTAGACCAATTTATATGGCCATAGTTTAGGATAGGTCCGATTTTACTTAACCCGGTTTAACACTTTAAAGTTTAAACGAAGACCGGGACCAAGTCAAGTTCTAGCCTGGTAGCTTGTCCCAAACCTGATTTTGGCCCACAACAAGTAGTTATGATGAACTTAAAACAATAGAACTCTATGAAATAAAAAAAGTTTATTGTTTGCTTTATTTTATGGAATTGTTTAAATCGTCTTAAAAGATTCGATTTAATTTACATATATAGAGTGTTTTGTTTATTCAATCATGGAATCGGATAAGTAATATAATCTAATTTTATTTATGCATTTTTTTATTGAATTTATTTACAAAAGTATCATAATTTTAATTAATCTTAAAATAGATGAAATAAATATATTTTTACTATTAATATCATTTGGATTTAAATGAGCTTTTGTTATGTTTTATTTTTTTTATTTTTGCAAGTAAAAAAGTTGTTAATTATAAATAAATAATGTATAGCATAAGTTACTACGATACATTGTAATTAAATATAATATAAAAATTTTCATATGAAATTTCAATGTATTTCTACTAGCTAAACGGAACATCGTCATAAAATGTAATGAATTATTTTATTAACATGTCATGTTTATTCATTTGCTATCTTATTCTATCTTATTCCATTATGCCAAACCGAACCTTATGTAGTGTTTGATATATAGTGGTCAAAAGGAATGGAAACAAAAAGAAAAACATTTGTTCGTGAATACATTTGTTTTGTAACACCGATGAGTAAGTTAAATTCAAGTTAATTTGTTTTAAGATTTAGGGTTTGGGATTTTTGGTGAAGCAAGTCGCAACTTCTAAAGGCCGCGACGCGAGCCACGTCGATAAGTAGCGACACAACTTTTAAAAGATCGCGACCATGGATAAAACCTTAGGTCTCAGGCAATGAGCTGAAAACAGTGTTTCGGATATTTTCATTTGTGGCTCATTTCCTTAAAATTTACAAATTTGGTCCTTGGCGTACGAGATAGGTACGTTGGACATAGGCGTTTAAATGATGATCGAGGATCCCTTGCATAAAAAGCATAAAATACCCATTTTACCCTTTTGACCAAAATGCATATTCTCACTCATTTTTTTCTCTTGAACTTACTCATCTAATCTCATCTTAATGAATTAAACCTCTTATTGGCCATTTTCATGAAGTCACAACTTCATATTTTCATCTTTTTTCTCATAATTAATCATTTTGCCATTTTGGTCAATATTTGACTAAAAAGTCAACTTTCTCTAAATTTCAAGTTCTTAACGCACGAGAGCTATGAGCATAGAATATTTATTGTTGATGAAGGAACGACACGGGATCAGTGAGTCCTGTTGATTATCAACAAAATGACACGAGAGCCACGTGTCGTTTTTGTGGTGGATCGACACTAGAGCCAAGAGTCTTGTTTGTATGCATTGTATTATATGTTGTGGTATTTTGAGAAACTCACTAAGCTTTATGCTTATAGTTGTTGATTTAATGTTTTTTCAGGTAGTTCCTTTGATTAGGGAAAAGCTCCAGCTTGACTGTATGTCACTCACATCGCTACTGATTTACTATAGACTTTCCCTTATTATGATGTTTGATACTTAGTGATAGTATGGCTTGATGATGTTTTGGAAGGATTTACAACCTTAATCATTTTATGACAATGTGTTTAATATGATTTTAAATGAAAAAATTTGGTTTGAAAATTGGGATGTTACATTGTTTATTACATGAGTGTGAAATTAAACATTTGGCAAGGAATGTGATTCCTTCTTTTGATTTGATTTTCATCCTACAAAAATCAAAAGAATGTTATTCATTTATTATTATTATTATTATTATTATTATTATTATTTACATTTCTACGAAATGGAATGATATACGATCATTCCATATATCACTTTCATGTATACAATCTTCAATAACAATAATATATTTTTTTAACAATACTTCAAGTAACTTATTTTATTATGAAAAATAACAAAAAATATTTTTTATTTAATATTGCATACAATTTTTTTAAATGATAAATATATTCTTTAACTCTCTTGAATACATATTATGGAATTAAATACTTTTTTAGTATATGTTTCAACTTATAAGAAATATGTCTATATGTAATTTAATAGGCGATACTATATTTTTATCTAATTAAAGTCCATTTTTATAAACGAAAATTCTCCACTCAACGATAAAATTTCATTTAGTTTGCTAATTACATATAACAAACAACATAGTTGAATGAATCGATTTATTCCTTTGAATCAACCAAACATGACAAGTTGATAACAAAATGTAATGAACCATTTTGTTTCATCCTCGTTCCACCATAATGGAACCATTTCATTTCTTCCTCGTTCCACCATTCATTTGCGAGTACATCTAGCCATCCATAACTCAACTAATTCCATTCATTTGAGATTACAACTTAATAATGTCATGTGTCACGTTAAAATCCTCGTTAAGATCATCAGTTAAGAAAATATGATCGATTAATAAAATATGACGTAATTCATCGGGGTTTATCTTTTTCAATATTTTTTTTTTCAGTTTTCATTTTAATTTAATCCAACATAAAATAAAGACGAGGAAAATGAATTTAAAAGAATATATACACTAATTCATTCAACCATCTATTTGTTCATGGAATTCAAGAATATTTATAATTCATCATCATAGTCTCCCCTTTAGAAAGCTAGTACACAATTGTTTCCATGCCTCCCTATCCGGCTCATTGTCCTCCATGCTAGCCCTCCCCTTTATAGCATTCCACTCCTATTTCAAAACATCATATCATCCGTTTAATAAAACAAGGTTAAATGCAAGAACTAACAACGTACTTTCATTGATCTGTTTATTACACCATCATACTTTCAACTTTTCTTATTACAACATTGTACTTCCAAAGTACAATACAATGTTGTAACACGAACAAATGGAAGTACGATGCTATAATTATTACACAAATAAATAAATTAAAAAGTACATTGTTGTTTATAAAATGATATTTCTATTGCAGTACCTCAATAAGATTACGTTTGAGAAGGCAATCAATGAGTTGAAGAAGAATATCTTTGGTGTACTCAGGGTGGCCTTGAACGCCCATTAAGTGATCCCCATATCTAAACATCTCAACTCTTGTTTTATCCGATGATGCCAACACTTCCACCTTCGATGGTAGTTCATGAACCTAGTGTCAGTCAAAATGGTTAAATGCAAGAAATAGCAATGTACTTTCACTGTTTTGTTTATTGTAGCATATACTTTCATTTCTTCCTATTACAATAGTGTACAATGCTATTGATTTGTAATAAAATGAAATGAAAGCAGGATGCTATTAAACTGTACCTCATCACGATGACATTCAATCAAGGATAACCGAGCTGGCAATTTCAATTTAGAAAACGTTTTTGTGGATGTTGAGAAATTGATGGTTCGTACTCCTATGTCCCATCCAGATGTTGCACGCGCAACCTTTCCTCCAAG